CTTAATAACGCTCATTATGCTTGTGTTTCGAATCGAAGTATAGAAAATATATTCATGTTGTCTTTAAACAAAATAGTACAGATCGAACACTTAAATATCCTTCATGGTTGAAAATGTTATAAGTAATGTTCAACACCCAATATAAATAAATTGAAAAAATTCTTTTATAAAATTAGATCACTTATCAAAATTATTTCCATGACGTTGAACATATTTTCACATTTGAACTACAAAGCGAGATATTTAGATGTTCAGTTTTTTTGTGGCACGCGTATATGTGATCGTGTGTGTGTGCTTCAACGTAGTTCCCCGTATTATGGGTGAGGGGGTTAAGATTCAGGGTGTATCGCTGTTCCTCGTCGCTCGTTGCGTCCTTTTCGCACAGCATTAGTGCGAACGAGTCGGCAAAATGACGCTAGCGTAGCTCTCGCAAAGTTTGGCCTTTCGTTGGCATTGTAGTGCTGCCTCCGTTGCACGCATGGGCCGAGATACGTAAACAGTCACCGTTCACTCTACTCTACTCTTCCCTCACCACACGGCGTTCACAAGCAGAACATCATTAATCAAGAGACTCGGTCCAGTCTCGCGCCAAGTACAGGCAACCGGCTGTACAGGGCGCAGCGCGCCGAGACTCTTTACTCGAGTCAACTCCTTATACCTGTGTTTGGAACGAAATATCTTATTAACCGTTATATATGAGGAAAAGTTATTGATACATTCACTATAGGAATTGAAGGTTCTGAAGCGATTGCCACCAAGTTCAATGTGATTAGTGTACGAAATCAGGGCGTATTGAGATGGAGAGCGAGATGATTTTATTTCAGTTCCGTCGTCGTCGTCGTCTTCGCACGTCCATCGCATTTTTTACACGACAGATGGCGCTGACTGCTGTGCCTTCTTTACCTATTTGTACTCTGTATGGTGTTAGTAATTTACGAATACGCAACACAATCAAATACACTTTACACGTGAAGCTACTGTTCATACCGAATTTCCAGTTAGTATAAGGGTGCTTTCAAAACAGTAAAGAATTATTAAGTTTTTAATAACATTCATGTGGAGCGCGCGTGTATGGATGTATGTATATGTGTGCTTCGGCATAGTTCCTCGTATTTTAGGTGACAGTTTTTAGAGATACAGGATGTCCAGGTGTTCCTCTCCGTAGTTTCCTGTATCTAGGTGGTCGACGTGGAAGTCCAGGGTGTCCAGATGTTCCCATCCGTAGTTTCTTGTATCTAGGTACTGGACGTGGAACTCCAGGGTGTCCAGGTATTCCGCTCCGTAGTTTCCTGTGTCCATGTGTTGGAGGTGGAAGTCCAGGGTGTCCAGGTATTCCACTTCGTAGTTTTCTGTATCTAAGTACTGAATAATATTGAAATAGCAAAGGAGATGATTTTAATTCAGTTCAGTCATCGTCGTAGTCTTTGTACCTCCAACTACTTTTTTAGATAACAGATGGCACTGGTTACAACACGTAGTTGAGACTTGTGTCAAAGCTTAAGAAATTCCTAAATGACTCAACTTCTTTCTAAATGAATTTCATTCTACATTTAAGAATATACTTTCCTTTCAAATTTATATATATTTTTGTGTTTCTAAGAAAAATCAATTTATAAATTACATTTATATGGCTTTTAACATTTTCGACAACACAATATATATATCTGATTAGTGACATTGCAATGTATTTATATTTTATATTTGTTTAACAATACAGATTTCAGTGTTTAAAACTTTTTTCATATATCCTATTGAACAACAAAAACTTGTGATATCCCCCAAAAAACACTTACGTGTAAAAAACTACGCCAAGTACAGGATTGCTGTGAATTCCTCTAACAAAAAGTATTGATATCATATTATTGAGGCCAAGTACATAAGTCACTACATGTTTTCCTATTATATGATCTAGCACTGGCCCATCATTTTAATTATATTTTCAATATTTCCTATAACGTTTTCGCTACTTTTTTATGTTACTACTGCTTCCCGTATTTAATTACGATTTAATGGTGATTTAATAATTAATAAAACTTAAGGTGATTCCTTATCGAGTACTACTTGGCGGCTCCGTGCATTTCTTGATATAAATTTGGTACAAAACCAGTACCAATTTTCTATAGAAAGCATATTAACAACAACTCGTCAAAAATAATCACGGTAAAAACTTAATAACAAACATACAGCATTAGAATACTATGAGCACGTATAAAGAGTAAGTACTTTGGAATTCCTGGCACAGACCCGCCAAGTAGTACTCGATAAGGAATCACATAAAGTTTTATTAATTATTAAATCACCATTAAACCATAATTAAATACGGGAAGCAGCAGTAACATAAAAGAGTAGCGAAAACGTTATAGGAAATATTGAAAATATAATTAAAATAATGGGCCAGTGCTAGATCATATAATAGGAAAAAATTTCGTGACTTATGTACTTGGCCTCAATATACAGCATTAGAATACTATGAGCACGTGCAAAGTAAGTACTTTGGAATTCCTGGCACGGACCCGCCAAGTAGTACTCGATAAGGAATCACCTAAAGTTTTATTAATTATTAAATCACCATTAAATCATAATTAAATACGGGAAGCAGCAGTAACATAAAAGAGTACCGAAAACGTTGTAGGAAATATTGAAAATATAATTAAAATGATGCGCCAGTGCTAGATCATATAATAGGAAAACATGCAGTGACTTATGTACTTGGCCTCAATAATATGATATCAATACTTTTTGTTAGAGGAATTCACAGCAATCCTGTACTTGGCGTAGTTTTTTACACGTCAGTGTTTTTTGGGGGATTATCTTTACTCCGCTTCTTTAACACGCATGGAACCCTGACAAAGTGACAGGCCCAAGCTACGTTAATTTATGTAAATAATGTTATAGTCTCACAAAGGCGATGATGCGAACGACGATTTATTGTTGCCGAAGCATGCCCTAAGTCTGTCAGCTAGAACCTCCCTGGAGAAATTAAATAGCTATCTCACTAATTACACGGACAGCTATAATTACTCAGAAGAAAAGTACGTCGGAACCTGTAATTCTACCCCAGGAAATCTTGTTATACGCTGCTTTTCAATATCCTCGCTTACCTCGTGAACCGCAAACACGGGTTGGTTCAAGTGGCTTAATATAATTTCCATAGTCAATTGGTGCAGTTTTCTGTACAATTTCCATTTTTTTTTTTTCAAAAGCATTTCTATTCGAGCGCTATCTACAACCTAAAAACCAAGGGTAATATTGCCAAAATCTAATTGTAAGACAGTCTTATCCTCCGAATAACTGCAACCGACTGCTAACTTCGTTGAAGTGATCTCTGAGAATCTCGCTTCGTTCGGCAGTAGCCCTGAGTTTCGCTGTAACGCAGAAAAAAACAGAATTTGGTCTTCCGAGTACGATTTTGAGACAACCAAATACAGCACTTTTGTACCTTGAAAACGGAGTTTTCATATCCAACGATGAACACAAGCTGCGAAGCTATGGAGCTATGAAACCTTAGCATCTCTTCTTCGACTCTCCCCTACACCATTAATCTGGGGACAATGCCGGCCATGGCTTCTATTCTGGGATCCATCAACGAATCCGAAACCTTTCATCTTCAATCTGGAGCGTTTCCTAGAGGACACGCCGTTCTTTTCTCCAAATATGGTAGACCAGCATGAGTTTGGACATTGGTTCCTTAACTCAGTTCGACCGCTATCAGGAGCTCGAGAAGTGTTTCGGTGTCCTATACATCTAAAGATCAAATATGCTATTCTACGAGAAAATTCTGATTCCAGGAACGGTTCGATAAAGGTCTCACGCTCACTGTTCGAAATATTTGGATCTCCTTAACCCAACAGCATCTACGTTGCATCACAGAGGGCCGCGAGCATTTTCAAATAAGTGAAAGTGAAAAAGTGTTATCGTCGTCTGGCCAGATAAACTATCATGCTACTTCGAAGACCGACAATTCAAGTTCCTTAAACTCAAGAGGGCCCTCGAGAAAACTCTCCAACAATGAAAACACTCCACACATGCCAATTTTCAGTATCATTTATTGAGGTAAATGGCATAACTAGACGCTTGCAAAACTTTCTGCGACATGAAGGAACTCTCCCGTCAAATTCGTTCACTAAATTTCCAGTAAAACCTCTCTATTAGTCTAAAGAGGGGCTAGACGCAGGTTATACTTATCAAGCAATCAAGAGACTCGGTCGAGTCTCGCGCCAAGTATAGGCAACTGGCTGTATAGGGCATGAATCGTCGAATCGTCTTTACCCAAATCAACTCTTATGTACCTGTGTTTGGAATCAAATATCTTATGAAACGCTATATATAAGAAAAAGTTATTAATAAATTCGCTATAAGAATTCAGGGTTCTGAATCGATTACCACCAAGATCAATACGATTAGTGTAAGATGATTTTATTTCAGTTCCGCTGTCGTCGTTCTCGCACATTCATTTACTTGTCCATGTAACAGATGGCGCTGATTAAGATACGCTATTGAGTCTTGCGCCAAGTAAAAGCAACCGGCGGTACAGAAAAGACGATGAAGCAAGTCATGTAACTGACAATGAGTATCTTTAACGTAGACCATACAACTCACTCTGGCTTTCATGTATTCATACATTTACCTTGATATTATCACGAGTCTCGCTTTTTTATCTGGCGGTTTTAGAATATATTTCGGTACATCGTTGAGGTACAGGTAAAAGGATATGGATGGAATGAGATCCTCATGGTCCTTCTATCCCCTTTAATATTCGAATAGCAGACAAGACTATTGTATTTCGATTATAACTTCCTACAATCCATGGTTGACTAGATTAATGTTGAGTTAATGGGAGTTAATATTAATTTGATCAATCAAGAGTTTCTATCGTTTCACGTGCCAAATACAAGAGACTCAGGAATAATTATGCAAATTAGTTTTGTTAATCGATTCACAAATTGTTGATAATTGGATAATATTTTAATTCCCACAAATAAGATTATATTTTATTGCAGGTGTCCACTTCGATACGAGCAGTACAAGTCTTGTGAATGAAATCACAACTGCTATAAAAGTTTACGCATATGGAGTGGAAGACTTTGTTAACGATCCAAGTAACCGGAACCTGAGCTTAAATACGCAACTGAGCTGCGAAGGAATTGGGGAGTCACGTTGGCATACAGGGGACACCTTTTTTAGGTTGGTATTACGATATACTTGTTTTACTATGATATAAACGATAACATTTTACACTAAATTAATTACTAAATATAGGTAACATCGCCAATGTATTTCAAGTTATATACTGTGTAACGTATCTTTCTTAAGCCGACACCGATAAAAAAAAATCCGAGAACTAACCTACGTTAGCTTCGGCCGTCCACCCTTCGCTCATGCATCCGCAAGCCACGCGGACGACAGCCAATTCTTTTTCCATCGGGAACTGACGAGCCGGTATAACCTGGGAGTTGGGATGGAACAGGTTAGATAAGGTTACGCGTAAAATCGAGAAAGGCAACCGTAGGTGCTGATCTTTGGGGTCGCATAAAATCAGCAAACGCAACTGGATGCACGAACGGGAGCAGACGATTAAGGAAATGCACGGCCGCTCAGGCTGCTAGGTTGAAGTAGAAAGGGTGGGAGTAAGCGTCAGGCATAATGCGAGATACAGAGAACAACGAATCGAGAACGTAACAGAACAAATCAGAAGTATCAAATCGAAATCCCTTGAACAGTTAATAAATTGCGAGTCTTCACTGGAGCTGGTGCAGCTAATCCGTGAAGGCCGAGAACCGTATCCACAGAACACTCAGATGGGCACCACAGTAGGGCACAGCACTACACCTCCGGAACACTCACAGGAAATCTACAGAATTTCCTGGGTATCGTGAGAGGAACGTGAGAACTACACGAGCGAGAACTGTCTATACCGTATCGAAACACAGAAGAACTATCAACAGATAACACGGGAGCGCGAGCCAGCTCCTGAAACCTCGGTGGGTGCCCGAGATAGACTGCTTTGACAATAGCCAAATTTAAGAACAAATCATTCTGATTGGTCGGGATCTTTATAGCCAATAACTCTTTCTTTCCCTCGAGTTGTCCCTTTAAACCAATCGAGAGCGTTCCTCAGCGAATTGGTACGTAACTTTGGAGATCCTCTACGACCGCTTCCCCAGGGCATCGGACGACAGCTGGGCATCACATCCAAATTCTAATACGGCCCCGATCAGGGCGTGATCAGGTTGCCTGATCGGGCCATTTTAATGTTGCCCTAATTACTTTATATATATTTCTTTTTTGTTACGGGAAGATTAGTACATTGCAAAGCCGTGAATATATTTTATTGTCTTTTTGTTTATTGATTGGGATTTTAAATATTATCGTTATATATATAGAAACACTTAAAAGTAATAATAATATTTCGCGCTTATATATAAATGTATATTTTATAATATTGTTTCTTCTTTGGTATCAATATATATATATATATGGAAGCAGAGGTCTTTAATATTACACGAACTTAATATAAATATACAGGGTGTAACTGAATTGTAGCACACAGTTATTACAGTCCGACACGAAATTAACACCTAAGTAAAAAGGTCTCTTTTTCACAATTCTATAAAGTTTGGAGCTTATCGGGTCAGTGATGCACTTTTGCTTGCGGGTATCCCTGTCCCTCTGGTGGCCGGCGGTTGTATTACATGTATATAGTTTCATATTAGGGCGATTTCAGTGTTGCCTGATTTCACACCTAATACGGTAGCTCTGAATAACGCCTGACTACGGCCAAGTCAGATTTTCCATAATAGGGCTAGCCATGAAATTGCCTGATCGGGGCCTGATCCTGGTCAGGTAAGCCCTAAGAAATTTCTACGCGGGTCCAGACTATCTCCCCACGGCAGATTCGAGCACCTCGACCTCAACTCAACAATAACGAAATCTTCCGAGAGCATTGGCGTAACTATACGAATCAGTCTGAGAGCGTAGTTTCAGAGCAGGTTGACAACTCAAAGGGAACCTGAGAGCGAGAACGTTATTTGTATCGGTAGCCGCAGTCGCCTTGTGGCCATGAATCGAAAAATCACGTCAGAATTGTAACGATGAGTTCATAACAATCAGCATTTCTATAATGTCTGCAGTACTATTTTTCTTGCGGAAGATAAGAGGCATAAAAAGTAGATATTAAATTTTCAGATATATCATCAGTAAGTGCAAATACATAACTGTAATATGTTATTAATGAAGCTCGAAGTAACACGTTAAATAGCTAGTTTATTTCATGTTATTAATGTGGAAGTTTTAATTTTCCGCACAAGCTCGATAGTATGTTAAGTTTGTACATGAAAAAACGGCTTGTACCTGTAATCGTTATATAGCTAACATTTTTATACCAGCATTTTATGACAGTTCCCAGCAAATACACTTTTGTAAATGTAACATAACAGTAATAAAACCGCTTATAGAAAGTGATAAAACACAGTAAGTATATGCAATAGTAGCTACGCAACAGTGATATAAATTGGAAAATCATATTTCCTGGGAAATTAGTTCGTTTTAGGAGATACAAGTATCTTAGACCTTGAATAATTAGATTCAATGTAGTTAGTGAGAACTTAACCAGATGGCGTTGGCGGAATCGCTGATTTGCATTAACATTTTTTTTGTCTATCCTCTTCTCTATTCATTGTCTTTTTTTCGGCTTTATTCTATTGCGTTGTATTCACGGCTATTCTGAGTTGTCGTAAAAAGTTTAAAAGGTTTAAATCTGTGAAATCTGTGTTTTACTACTTTGATTCTCACGTTTGCCAATCATCGGGTTATTGACCCTTACTACGATTCCTCCTTCATCCCAAGGTCTGAAATACTACCATTTTCCGTTTTAACGCTTATAACGTGAATAATGGTTGTGCATACAGGAATCATTCCTAAATTCAAGATAATATCGGTATATTAGTGTGGGGTTATGTTACCATTCCAAATAAAGGTCTGTAGAGCATCATGGTCGACTAAGTGCTGTAGTTGACAAAGCACCACAGCTGTCAAACATTCTGAAGATTTGAAAGTTATCTCACTTGACGGTACAACGTACACACTCCGAGAAGATAATAATTGTAACTCACTCACTTTTAATTTGCCAACAATTTATTTATTTTATTTAAAAAACCATATACATACGCCTTAAAATTCTATATGTATATTTGATTAGTGCATGCTCCCTTCTTTCCCCGACCAGACGCCTGCGTCCATCGGACATTCCGCACTCCGCCTTCCTTACGTTCGTGACAACATCACTCAAGGTGTTCAAAAAGCTTAGTGCAGCTAGTACGTTATACTAATACGTTTTAATAATATAATGTTTCGTCTTAAAGTATTACTTTGATTTACATATACATTTGAAAGATACAGTTTAGCTGCGGGTTGAATGTTTAACGCCTTGCCACCTAGTCGACATATTTTCGACAACACAGTTCACAATTCGTTAAATTGAATAAAGGAATGAAATTAAAAAAGGTTATAGTTATGTGGCTTTTATTATGTTTAAGCAACATTGGAATTTTAAATAACAGCTATATGAAGATAATATAACATTGTATATTGTAGTCTAAATTATACAACAGCTATGTTTTGTGTCTGCTAGGATATTTATAATATCCCAAATTGTCATGGATTACTTTACTTGTCAGATGTATTATAATGGATGATTAGATAAGATAATTTTTTACATTTTCAAAGTTTTTATAGAGGAATCGAAAGGGCAAATTCACCAAATTTATCAGGATAGATTTTTAGTTTCAGTAATTTCTAACTTGCATATTCATCGATGTAATATATCATATAATTAAAAATCTACATGTTGATTGGTTGTCCACACCTTTAGGCCCTGCAAGCATATCAACCAAAATAGTATGAATTGATATGAATATGAATTTGCATGTTCAAAATGGATGCCAGCCCATCTAACGACACAGTTATATTACACTCGAGTAACAAGATTGTATAACATGTTTGATATAACATGTATATCCAGACAACGAAAGATGTATGAATCCTTGCTATATCCTTATGAAATGTTGCTGATATGTGTTAGATATATTATGCTTATTTTATAAAAATCTAAATGTAATATATATGAAACTTAAACATAACAAAACCTGTTAACTGTAACCTAATTTAATTTAATTCCTGTTACATTTAACGAAATATGAATTGTACCGTCGAAAGTATGTCCGCTAAGTGGTCAAGCGTGAAAATGTCAACTAGCAACTGAAGTGTATCTCTCAAATGTATTGTGACAAGAGTCCCTAACCAGACACGGGGTATCCGAGCGAGCACTAGTTCGCTGCCGCGACACTAGGTCGCCAAGGCAACTCGCATGAAAAAACATAAGACCGGGTAAATAAGTAATCCGTCGATTTTGTAGTTCTTGTTTTCTTCGCCATGGATATACGTTTTTGTATCCTGCATCTAATATCCAGCTTCTCTCACCCGAGAGAGAACCATTTTTTTTGTGATCACACACCGTCCGTTGAGAACTCTGTGGTTCTAGTTTCGTTTCAGCAACTTAGTCCAGTAGCGCAGCGTTTAGCTACCCTGGACAAATTAGCAGAGAGTGATCGCTCTCGCATTATCCGTAGCAGGAAGTGTTGGTTTCCACCGTCTCAAATCACGCCCTCATCCGTAGCTGGAAGTGTTGGCTTTCACAGCCTCAAGTCATTCCTCCGACATTTTTTATTACACCGATTGTAATAGAACCGATGGATGATACCGAATAAAGACGCAAATTATAATAAACGAGGAAAAGTTTACCCGAAAAGAAATGTTTCATTATTGCTGTAACACAAGAAGTGTATCCCTTTATCGTTCCGAACCCTGGTTCTACTCTAAGAGCTAAGTGGCCAAAATTGTCATTCGAGGGAACTGGTACTTCACCAGTCTTGACAGTTGGAAATAATATACGTTACAGTATACAAGGTGAACCACGGATCGTGATCAGTAGAGATTACTTTGTTATTAGCTGTCCGATTGCACTAAAGGAATGTTTAACACTCTTCGTTTTCAAAATAATAATATTCCGAATTGGAACAGAATTATACAGGGTGAATCACGAATCGTGATCAGTAGAGATTACTTTGTTATTAGCTGTCCGATTGAAAATGTTTTTATCAGCTTTTGCATGGTTTTAAGAGAGCTTTAACGTGATAGTGAAAAATTACTGGTCAACTATTTTTTTAATGTTTTTTCAAGGTTACCTTGAATTTTTTGGCAACTGAACATATAATTTTTTACGCCTGTCTGTTAGAGGATTTCAAGAGGAATTCAGCACATGTAAGAACATGACATTTTTTTCATCCGGTTCGAAAGAACATTAAAAAACTTTGTATCACGAGGAGAATCACAGCTACGCCGTTATTACGCAACCAATGTTGTTGACAAGTCAAAATTTACGAATCTTAATTGTAGCGATGTTCAAAATGGTGTCCACGAGCTGCAATGCACTCGCGTAGACGGTGAACAAAAGATTGTTTTGCATTCTTTATGGCCTCTCCTCTACACTGATGGCGACTGAAGACGACAGAATGGATGCGTATAACGGCGTAGCTGTGATTCTCCTCGTGATAAGGAGTATTTAGTTTTTTAATTTTCTTTCGAACCAGATGAAAAAAATGTCATGTCCTTACATGTGCCGGATTCGTCTTGAAATCTTCTAACAGACAGGCGTAAAAAAATGATATGTTCAGTTGCCAAAAATTCCAGGTAACCTTGAAAAAACATTTAAAAAAAGAGTTGACCAGTAATTTTTCACTATCACGTTAAAGCTCTCTTGAAACCATGCAAAAGCTGATAAAAACATTTTCGATCGGACTGCTAATAACACAGTAATCTCTACTGATCACGATCCGTGGTTCACCCTGTATGTATATCAGAGTAATACTTTCAGACAACGTACTTTTTCTTTAAAAGTGTGGCGTAACGTACCAGCTACATTAAGCTTTTTGAACGGCTTGAATGTAATTATTAGGTAGGAAATATCTCCGAAGGCGAACTAAATTCCTAACAAATACGATTATCACATTGATGTCAGTATTACGTAGCTATTATAGAACAATATAGAATTCATTATGACGTAGATACAATTTTTACAAGATGCTCGATTATAATATAATACGACCACTTTACAAAAAGTGAATTAAAACTTTATTAACATGCCTATGCAATGAATTGTTACATATTTGTTAAATTCCAATAATATTGTACCGTGTGGGAATTAATAGCTAACTTATGTCTTACACATTAGTTTCATGGTATATTACATTTTATATTTATGTCATATGTCGGTGCTAGCTGGGAATTGATATTGAAGGTTACATATCAAAATTCAGTGAAAGTACTGCAACTATCGGTGTATCTTTTTTCCCCCTGTGTGTAAGAGACACATGTCGTTCATTTCTTTTCCTTTCGGCCTTATCCTCGCATGAGGACATGTGCCAGTAAAGAGTTTATTCGATCAGATGTAGGAATTCGCAATACAGCTACACAGTCTGCGGAAAGCTCAAGTAGGCAATACTATGTGAACCTACAAGGTTTAAACATCGAACCCATATCGTGTTGAGCGAAGACCGTGGAGGGAGGGGGCACACTGGCACACAGGCTAATTGGACACACGTGACTTTTTATTGCTAATACTGTTCATTTTTAAATTGATGGAATAGAATTAGGTACGAAGAATATCTTACTATAGTACATATATTGTATGTGACTTAACATTAGTTTACGCTAGGTTTGGTTAGGTAAGGTTGGGATACGGTGGAATGTTTAAATTTTGGAAACTGGGTAGGTTAGTGGACAAGTATATATCGTCTGAGAGCGAACGAAGCGAGTGGGTCCGATTGGACAGAGCATTAAATGTTTGAAAAGACTCCGTCAGATAAAGATAACTTACAATATCGTTGAATTACTGAAGATCGCTCAGGAGGCAGAAGTTCGTATTTGTGTCCAATTTGGTTTTTGCGCAACTGGGCATCACTCAAAGACCGTATAGACATACAATTCAATTAGGTTTTCCTAAGAAAACTTATTGGTGAATGCCTCAGGGAGAATCAGGCGCAAACCCCGATCTTTTCAGTCGAAATTCACAACGTTACTTATTTTATTAATTTTTTAAAAATATTTATATTTTATGTACAGGTAGCTCTCCTACAACACATACCTATAACACGGTTTCGCTCTAACGCAATAAGAAAATTGCGAACACCTTTGTACAACACTGTACTTCTGCAGTACTGGATAACATGATTTTTGTTTAACATTTTTAAAAAATGATTTACCTTAAAATAATAACAGGAAGGAATAATAAACTATAGTGCCTTTACATGAAAATATATAAATAAATTATAATTTACTCATTTATAACTCTACTAGCAAATCTGACCCGTTTTAAAAACGGGAGTGATCAAATAATCGTGTTTCTTATTGGTATAAAACTTTATACCTACAAGTTTAGTATAATTTTTTAAAAATAGATAGCATACGAAAGTTGTTTACGACTCTGAAACTATATCTTTTAGTTCAATATATATTGTAAGAAAATGATTTCGTAATTTTCTAAATACAGTAAATATGATTAAATGAGTTTATTTTGTGATTTATAATTTTTACCTTATTTATGTAAGTTTCACATACGCTTCATATACAGTTCATATGTAGGTAAAACCTGTATGAAATGTATATGATCTATTGATCTGTATACTTTCCATATACAGTGCATGCCAAAAGTTCGAGAACGATCGAATATCTCTAAATATAATATATGTATTTTAGAAAAGAATGCCTGGAACAAATGTTTTGGGTTTCAAAGAAATGTATTATTTGGTGGAGGTTATTTAGTCTTGGAATGACTTTGAAACGCTGCGTTAAGATCAACGTAAATATTGTCATTAATAACCCTCATTTTATATTACGTATTCTTGTAGCTAATCTCCAGAGCTTTTCGAAACACTAGGATTGAACCTTTTTTCATGAAGAATTCTACCAGATATGAGTCTTCGAACTTTTCATCTTTTGCTACTAGTCACAATTACCGCCAGATGACGATACATTTTGAATAATGCTAATGCCAGCGCACAGAGAAAAATAATTTAGCTGTTGCAGCTATAGTTAGTTTGCTAGGCATACTTATGCTGTAAGAGCATTTTATTTTGCAAGCCCAGTGACTAACTTGCACTTTCAGCAGATCAACGTTAGTTACTGAAACAGAAAATGTATCTCTTGGATGATTTCGTGTTCGAACAAATGATTTGCTTTCAGAACTCATATACTTAGCTGGTGAAAAGAATGAAGGATTCGAATTTAAGAACGTCAGCAATTGAATATTTGCTGCAGTAACGTTTGTTTTATCAAAATATTTGTACCTGTTATCAATCAATTGCTACTGATGCCTAAAATATATGCCATTTGACAGAATTCATTAATTTGCTGTCACAACAAGCGTAGATGGCTCTAATAACAAAGGACATTTGGAAAGAGCGGAATTTGGTCTGGAATGTTATACGACGCGTTCTAATACGTTGCCGCCTCTGTTGTAAGGCGATTTATTCTGTTTCGTCCTGCGTACAAAGTCTGTCTATTGAAAGTTCAGAATGGATTATCCTGGAAACGTGAGGTCATTGTTCACGTCGTGGGGAATCGGTGAAGACGTTATTAAAGTGTTATTTCCAAAAAGTTCTTTGTAGCATCAGACAGAAATTATTATCGGCGTCGAAAATGTCGATCAATACATGTTTGAAATTAATATATCTGCAGATATGTTAAATCCAAATTTTAATAATAATTTCTTTCCATACTACTAAGGACTTTGCAAAGGAAATAAATTATTATGATCTGTCATTCCTTTTTGGTTTAGGTATCTGTTTATTTGCTGTGATGGTAAATAACATGTCAGCCGACTCTTTGCTCTGCTAACAAATTATTCGCAGATGTGAAAATTTGTCTGCTAATGACATTTGAACCCGCAGCAGCTTGTTTGTTGCTACAGCAACATACTATTGCTGTAACAGCAAAATATTACTGCTGCTATAGAAAATTGTGTTTGATTACAGTAGCAAAGCATCCACAGCAAATAAATTTATCTGTAGGAGCAGTCAATATTGCTGTCACTATATTTGCTAACGATTTTTGCTGCGATAACTTATGTCATCCTGGAATAACAAATTTGTTTTCTCCGTGCATATTGAAAGTTTAAATACTCATATCTGGTGGCATTCCTCGTGAAAAATGGTTCAATTGTGGTGTCTTGAAAAGCTCTAGTGATTAGCTACAAAAATATGTAGTATCAAATCGGGGTTCCTTTTGACAATTTGTAAGTTGACCTTAACGCAGCGTTTCAAAGTTATTTCAAGGTCAACTAATCTTCATTCGATAATACGTTTCGTGAACCCTAAAAAATTTATTACAAGCATTGTTTTCTGAAACGCGTATTTTTTTTTTTTAATATTTGACCGTTCCGAAACTTATTATACACACTGTATTTCATTTTCACCTGGGTTATAATAATATATTGAACTGAACTGAAATATCCAGAAAATCACTGTTTTTAATCACATTCATTAATTCATATGGTCGATTATGTTGGCTATCGTATATGCAGTTTTATTTTATTTATGTGTTGTATGCACAGATATTTGAAGAATGTCTCCGTGGAAGGGGATCAGGGCAAACCTAATGTCGAGTTCACACAAGATGGAGTTCTGAAAGCTGCTGAGTTGAAAATAATGAATCTACGTCCTGGAGTAAGCAAGCAACTGGTCTGGGAAGAGGTAAGCACTATGTGTATAATTGCTTGTTATATTCTTTATACTTATGTATTAACTTACATTTTTACACCGCTTGTAAATGATGTGGTAGATCAATATGCGTAATAAATACTTATTCAACATCTTTCCGAAGGGATTTGTAGGTACGGTGGCGTGAATCATGTTTCTTATGCATTCACCATCCAAAACAAAATAGTACCATTTTATTCCTTGGCAAATTCTAGGCAATACTTATTTTTGCATTTTTTAATCTACATAATAAGATTTCAACATAATCAGCATTGAAGTTGCAATAATGTCATCGATAAGAACGCGTTTGAATGGAGCGTGGAAGGGAGAGTCTATAAAAACTTTCCGTCCGTGACCCCTTTTTTCGATTCTCATTAGTCGTTCAGTGCAAGAATGCCATAAGTGTGAAGTAAAGAATGCTAAAGGTATCATCAGGTAGCCATGACAGATTCGTAAGCCGTCACTCCGCAGGAAAATATATTTTATCGGAAGGCTTCAATTTGGTGTAATAAATTTATCGGCAGTGTTTTCTATAATGAAATTATTAGGTTTCGAAGATTCTTCGCTTCCAGCTCTCGTCCGTGTGCCAACTCACACATAGAAAAAGTCATTTCCCCTTAATCTGTTATCGGGGCGTGTGATTAAGTAATTAACGAGGGACATAACGTAACGTTACATAGTCACAGATCTCGGCCGTGACCTCAGACTTCAATTTTGACAAATGAAATATAATCTATTTTCGACATTCTACGGGCTTCAGATAAACTATGGAAATCCATATCGTGTTCCGTCAAAAATATTTCACTAAACTTAAATTGAGTATCCTTAAAGTAATCATAGCAATGTCGTGGCAAATTATAGTCTTATAGTTTATTTTTATCATTAAGTAATTATAGATTCTGATTTCAAGACATGATTATAGATGGTCGTAGCGGTTGGAATGCTTGCGAATTTTATCGATATTATTATCCGGAATATTCCAAGTACTTAAGTCTTGCCTACATAAATCCAATTATCCGGATGACTTAAGTTGTTGATTAGTTGATAGATGCTCTTCCAAGTTACTGAAAATCAGGGAATGATATCAAATAGTTCAATTTTTTATAAATTTTTTGTCATATCCGCTCATCTACATAAAATAGTATATTATGCAACTAGTGCGTAAAGTGAATTTTCTTCATGAGCCATGATCGTCGGAAATGAGTCACCGGTCGAGCCGGCGACGAGTCTTGTCGCTATCACGTCAGTGTAAAACAGTCACGCACGAGTTGCATATGCTATTTGTTGCACGGCCGTAAATAAGTTTCATGTGTAAAGTTTGATTCTTAATGCGTAAAGTCTACTTTTCTCACTACACACAGTATGAAAAAAGGGACACTTTACGCACTGAAAATCGAACTTTACACATGAACTTTATTCATGGCCGTGCAAACACTATTTTATTAATATTAGAAATTAAAATATTTATGCCGAAAGTATTTAGAGTATTGATTATATATGTACGTATATACTATAAAATATTCATACTACTAAACTCTGAAAATTCTCCGACGGTAAAATGAACAAGGAGTACATAATTTTCAGAGGGTTTAATTACAGTGATAAAATGATGTTAATCACCAAAGAGAGAACTTTTAATTGAATGAGAAAAAGATGCGCAAGAAGTCTTCAACTACAGTCTAATCGGAAAAGTTTTCTTAAAGCTAGTGGAAAATACCGAAATTTGTTTGAGGACATTGACGGGATTGAGTTTCGCCCCATTTGTAAGAAATAAAGGCTCTGCTGAATTCGTCTACTGTCCTTTCAGAAGAATTGTAACAGCTTTCAGTGGTTCGACTTGCTCACGAAACATTTTGTTAAGAACGAACAGCTACCAGGAACATTTTAAGCACGTGGGCTCACACCTAAATGTAGTCGAAGCCTTTTGACTTTACAGATATAACCATTACGTGAAGTAATTATATTATAAATAAAAATGGAAAGAACAAATATAATAATTTACTTTAGAAGTTATTTCATATTTGGTGCTATTAGATTTCCGAATTGGTTTTGAATTGTTAGGATTACTGATCTGGATCTCTACTCTAGTCCAATCAACGACAGATTGGCTGACAAATTGTTATATCTTCAAGGGCCTAAGTTGATGTATATTTAATATATGCTCTCTAATTAGTTGCTCGTTTCACGATAGACAGGATGACATATTCATATGTTGGTACATTGTGGTGGTAGACATAATATTCATGAACTTTGGTAATGTGGGAAACCGTGTATCATGGTAAACCGGTTACAGTTTGTACCAATAATTGTTGACAGCTCGTGTGATTTAGAAAGTTCTAGCAGGAGGATGATCAATACGTAATGTAGTCTTCTGAGAAATCTAATATAAGTAATGAAAATATATTAATTTCTGTTGGTAGTGTAAGTCACAATAAAAAAAGTTGTTGGATTTTTTCTCAGCAACTAGAAAATCTTGTCCACGCAGAAGTTTTTACACTATTTATGATTAAAGTAATCTGTACGTTGTAACAAAAATATTTCGCTACAGGCTCTTCCCTGCCACCTGACTCAAAAGGACCACTCGCCTGGGGCTCAATTATTGCGAATTAGACTCTTTATTGCGTATCTTTTGTTTAAGGACCACGATTAGTACTGTAAGCCCCTTAGCATCTACTCTTCCATTCCTTTTTCTCATCCCCTTGGACACTGACTCGGGGATCATCGAGGACCATCCTCGAGGATCAGACACCAAAAGAAACATTGGATTAAGCATGAGGCCGAGAGGTGTGCGTTGCGTTTTAGTCAAGTATCTTGCGAGGACATCGAGGTAATAATTAGGAAATCATTGTGGCCGGGAACCTTCTCCCTGAGATCGCTCTTCTCTACCCTACTAGCCGTGCCCAGTTTTCGAGTCAGAGTAAATATTGTAAGACCTCACGAGGTCATTTGTCGGTGCTACACGGTTACCGTACCTGCGCCTAATTTTTATTTTGAGAATAGTATATTGTGCACCGAGAGCGAAAACGGGCGTTTCTGTGCCGCGTATAAAGTTGAGGTTCCCGAGACGAAGCCGAAGGGTTCTCAACTTTATACAAGGCACAAACGCCCGTTTTCTCTCGCGGTTCACATACTATTTTCTTCCACAGCGGAGCGAACGCAAGTTTTCACGTAGTGGGTGATTCTTGGGCCGGTGCAAATAAACAGATTAGTTTGGTAACTTAGGAAATTACAATAAAACATCTGTGCATTGTACAGCTTATGTGAAAAAAACAATTGCCCCGGTGGTAGCTGGTCGTTGGATTCGTCGGCAAATATCACCTCATTCCTATTCAATTTTTTAATCTTCTACGTTTCCCCATTCGAGAATTGCCCGTTTTCCCTCCTCCCGAACGGACCGAAAACGAGCGTTTTCGCTCCGCAGTTGAAGAAAAGTATTTGTGCTAGTAAGCCTTCCTTTCCTTCCTATCTCTTTACTACCAGAGCCCTTCTTCCTTCCTGATTCCCCGCTTCTACTGTCGAGTTAAAGCTCCACTGCGACATTACGTGATTCTGCGCTAGCCCCCGTTTTGTTTTGCGTTGTCTAGTTTAGCCTATTGCGCCTTTTGAGTTTTCTTTTCTTTTCATTTTACTCATCTTTTGGCTTATTTTGCTTCCTCATAGAGGAAGCTATGTGACGGTGGAAAATTTTCCTGTCGAGATTTTCATGTCACCATGTTCAGAATGTGCCAAAACGTCGATAAAACAGGTTCGGAGAAAATGTCTGGAGTTCCAGCTCCTTAACCGGCAACGATCCCAAAAATTACCTTAGCCCTAATCTCTCGAACGAACTCCTTCGTCACCGAGACGTTACGGCACAACAAATGGCCTCCCAAAATTCAAACGTGTATAACTCGAGAACGGTTTTAGCTACAGCCCCCCAATTTTGCAGGCATATGCAGCTCTATAATCCCTTCATTGACTATACATTTTCGTCATGATTCAAGCTGTGGCTCAAAATTGATGTCATTTTCAAATATCCAAAAAAAGGACGTTCGCACTCTAGCGATCGCAAATTTTGTGATAATCGTCTAAATAGTTCATGACAAAGAGATATGTATCCAAAGTTGGTTGGTATTGCATTTGGACCGAATCGATCGAAAAGTTTTGATTTTATGATATTTTGAATTTTTCAAAAAATTAAATTTATCCATATAACTCTCGTCAACTTTGACCGATTGAGCTCTAATTTTCGAAAAGTATAGAGTATCATTTAGCCGTGATATTTCTCAAATTTGGCAGAGATTGGTAAAACGGATCTGATTATACATATCTTCAAGTTTTTGAATTTCAGCCAATTCAAAAATATTACGCCCGAAGAGGTCATGCAAGAGATTTATCCTTAGATGCGTTCTCTACAGTGGAAGCGGCCATAGGATGAACGTCGATGCGGAGAGTTCACACCTGGCGCCCAACAATCCGATCTAGTTCAGATCTCGGATAGTTTTCCGGGTTTCGGCACGTTGGGAGTGGCCGTGAATTATTTGTCGGCTACGCCGTTGGCCGGCGTACGTCACAATACATACATACATACATAATAGGCAAAGAAACACAAAATAAAATTAAAACAAGCTGCAAGTTGAAACTTGCAATTTGCTTCCTCCGAATCGTAAGTAGTGTACGAAGTCCCTATATGAAGATGCCAAGAATTTAAATTTTGCAATTTGCTACCTCTGAATCGTGGGTAGTAAATGAAAATTCATCTATGAGGAAGCCAAAGATAAAAAAAAATGAAAATACTTCCTCATATAAGGACTTCGTACACTACTTACGATTCGGAGGAAGCAAATTGCAAGTTTCAACTTGCAGCTTGTTTAACGTGAGTCCCCATGCCTCTCACAACTTGGGGTGCTTCACACTGTAGAGAACGCATCTAAGGATAAATCTCTTGCATGAAACAAGCTGCAAGTTGAAACTTGCAGCTTGTTTTAATTTTATTTTGTGTTTCTTTGCCTATT